CAAATTGCAATATTTGTCCATTAATTGCAGCATAATACAACTATATATATGTATATATAAAGCAGTACATGACATTCTGCAATCAACATAAAGACATAAGAAGAAGAATATCAAGAAGAAGGAGAGCACAAATATTGCTTATGGGCTTTTGTGGAGCAGTGGCTGCTACCTCTTTACAGAGGAATGTGTGGGTGCGGAGTCGGAACCAGGACTGGTGGGATTCCGTGAGGGGCTTCATGGACACCAAATTCATTAATAATTTCCGAGTGAGAAGGGAAACGTTATCACCACCTGAATCACCCGTTGTCTGCCATTTTTTTTATTACCCCTCGCCTCCTCCAGCACCGAATTGTGACTTGTGACGCCTGTCGCATTTCAACGACATAAAAAAAAAAATAAATATCGCATGACATGCGACCTGGCCATTCAGACTGAAGTTGCATCGCAAAACATCGGATATGTATCCGATTTAGGACCACATATGAAAGTGGCCTGGGTCAGATTTAAAAAAAATAAAAATAAAAAATTTGGCTTTGTGCTGTTCACACTGTCATAAGGAAATCAGATATGGGTCGCATTTGGTGTCTTGTAATGTAGCATCTTTCCCACAGCTGCTGCAGGAGTATGGTTTTTCACCTGTGTGGGTTCTCATATGGACCAACAAGTGACCCCTGTGCATGAAACACTTGCCACGTTTTACTACAGGACTACGGCTTCTCCCCGCTGTGGCTTCTTAAATGAACCTTCAAATTTGTTGACTGCTTGAATCCTTTCCCACAGGTCTTGCAAACATATGGCCTCTCCCCTGTGTGGATTCTTAAATGAACCTTCAGACTTGATGACTGCTTGAATCCTTTCCCACAGGTCTTGCAAACATATGGCCTCTCCCCTGTGTGGGTCCGTAAATGAGCCTTCAAAGAACATGAAATTTTGAATCCTTTCCCACACGTCTTGCAAAAATATGGCCTCTCCCCTGTGTGGCTTCTTAAATGAACCTTCAGACTTGATGACTGCTTGAATCCTTTCCCACAGGTGTTGCAAACATATGGCCTCTCCCCTGTATGGGTTCGTGAATGAACATTTAAACTTGATGGCGTCTTGAATCCTTTCCCACACGTCTTGCAAAAATATGGCCTCTCCCCTGTGTGGCTTCTTAAATGAACCTTCAGACTTGATGATTGCTTGAATCTTTTCCCACACATCTTGCAAACATACGGCCTCTCCCCTGTGTGGATTCTCATGTGGATCAAAAGATCACTGTTTGTTGTGATACTCTTCCCACATGTTTTACAGGAATAAGGCTTCTCCCCAGTGTGGCTTTTTAAATGAGCATCCAAATGTGATACCTGCTTGAATCCTTTCCCACACATCTTGCAAACATACGGCCTCTCCCCTGTGTGGATTCTCATGTGGATCAAACGGGTACTGTTTTTTGTGAAACTCTTTCCACATGTTTTACAGGAATATGGCCTCTCCCCAGTGTGGGTCCTTAAATGAACCTTCAAATCTGATGACAACGTGAATCCTTTCCCACACGTCTTGCAAACATACGGCCTCTCCCCTGTGTGGATTCTCATGTGGATCAGAAGGTGACTGTTTGTTGTGAAACTCTTCCCACATGTTTTACAGGAATACAGCTTCTCCCCAGTGTGGCTTTTTAAATGAGCATCCAAATGTGATGCCTGCTTGAATCCTTTCCCACACCTCTTGCAAACATACGGTCTCTCCCCAGTGTGGCTTCTTAAATGAACCTTCAGGTATGATGACCGCGTGAATCCTTTCCCACACATCTTGCAAACATACGGCCTCTCACCTGTGTGGGTTCTCAGGTGGCGCAACAAGTGACCCTTGTGCGTGAAACACTTCCCACATGTTTTACAGGAATGCGGCCTCTCCCCAGTGTGGCTTCTTAAATGAACCTTCAAGTCTGATGCCTGCTTGAATCCTTTCCCACACGTCTTGCAAACATACGGCCTCTCACCTGTGTGGGTCCTTAAATGAGCCTTCAAATTTGATGACTGTTTGAATCTTTTCCCACACGTCTTGCAAACATACGGCCTCTCA